CAGTGAATTCGAATTTACCTTGTCGTTTTTCAGAATCTGTGCGACTTTTCAGTGCAGTTCTATTTGATGTTTCTGSATTTGCAAGTTGTATTGCATCGTTCGGAAATTTCTGGAAAAGGTACTGAATTAGAGCAGACGTCTCTCCTTTTTTCGTGCGAAGCACATAAGTTGCATCCGAAATGTTGGTTTTGGCAATATTTTTGTGGCCCCTAAGTAAGCTGTATTTTCCATGCATGTCGGTACTTCATGCATGTTCTAGGTGAAGCCATAGTTAGCATTGACCTCCAGTTTCTTCCACTTGAGGTTTAAATAGTCTTTTGTACCAATACTATCTAAGGTCCATTGTCTTGAACAAAGTTGAACAAGCTTAACTGATTTCAGGGATCAAAGAACCACCTTCAGGCTCTAGTACTGTAATTAAAGAYCTTTCTTTTCAAATAAAAATATTTCGAAGGCAGTGTGTCATTTATTTAAAGCTAATGTTCCCCATCCTCATTAAAGTATTTTTATGTATTTTTTTTATCCTCAAGGGACAGTGACTTTTTTAAATACTGAAAAAAAWTATAATTACTCACCACAAACTTAATTCAGACTGTGTGGGTTGCTCATTCAATGTCTTGGAATATCAATGTCAAAGGAGGCGCATTTGAAAATGGAGCTGCCTATCCATTCCAAAAAAGAGGTCAAATAATTTTGAGCTACATTAATACTGGATCACTTGCTCAGACTGCAAGGGATGAAAAAGTGTCATACAACTGTGTGGCAAAACTTGTGTCACATTTTCAACATAATGCTCGCTTCAACCCTTGTACACTCAACAAGGGAAGGTCGCATGCTATCCCGCATTGGATGGAGGGTTTATATCGAGGCCTTCATAATAATTTATCCAACTATTTATTTACGTGAATGTGTGGAGATGATCGCGAACGATTTCAATCTCCCGCCAAATCAGGTACCGTCATGTTACAACAAAACAGGGAGGTTRGGTCCGWCGAAGAAAAATACTCAAAGCATATCAGAAGGCAGGTATAACATTTGTATTCATCGATCGTTTAAGTAACAGATTGCAGGAGTGAGATTTTATATATCAGAAAACGAAAACCTCAACAGTGAGGTATCGCGGTTTTTTAGCTGAATATGCATTTACTTTCATTAATTTYTACATTTTGCAGTTGCTAGTTTTGATGAGTTGACAGTTGATGCAATGTAGGTGCCAGAACTCGAGAAAAATCTCATCCATTAGCAACAAAAGTGTAATTTGTAAAGAGCTATTGTGGTCTTGAAACTTCTACACGGGCTTACTCCGCTGTGGCCATTTTTATGAATTATCAGCTCAAATAGGCTTTAATCTCACTCACAGATTAATACATTGTACCTATATTATCCCTCAAATAGTTGATTTTCATCGCACGTGATTGTGTTTGTATTGCTCTGCAGATTGCACATCACGTTTATYCGTTTAATGCTCATCCATCCAGGAAGACTCTCGAGTGGTTAGGTAAGCGACAGTTTTTGTATGTGCTCAATAATCCTTGACATTTCTGATATAATTAGTGACATATAGAATACAATAATGTCATGACGGACAACATTCATTTATCATTTTCGTTAGGAAACAACGCCCGCCCTGTAAGGAATAAGGAAGTGATTTCATTATTCAAGTATGACATGCTACTTTTTCATTGCAGCTTACTCGTTATATAGAGACCACTCCGGTTTGGGCAGAATGGACCCACAAGTGGTACTGTCCAAAATAAGTCACACTTTAGGTGAACAAAGAAGGCCATTCAAGCCTTGGGTATGTATATATGTTGGTCTTTCCTTCGATCAATGCATTGTTGAAGAGAAGTTGTCAATGCCAGCAASTCGCCTGTTTCATGACGTCCTCACAGTATGTTTACTGCGRGATCTTASTGTCCCGATTTGTAYCATCAAAGTAGTACTTCAATTCAATGTATCGTGCTTTSATCATTGKTCATATACATTTTATTTGATATGAAGTCACTCTGATCCCCTCTTGAAACCATAGTCCTTTCCGTCAAAAGAATAGATTGTTTTGATGTGACGWCAGACTGAAAAAGGCAATAGCTCCTTTTAGCGATCTCTTTTAYGCTGTGTTATCCAGAGTAGATTGATGATAAGAGCTTAACTTATGTAAACTTTTATTCTCKCTGTTGAGTTCGTTTACTAGCAGAAGTTATCCTATATCCTGCAGTCTGCGGTTCTTTGTCTTTGCACTTAGCTATATGTTCTTCTCAAACGCTTCGGCTGCCAACTAACCCCGAATACACGTGCCCTCAGCCTTAAATACCGGGGCACAGCCCACCCACAATTCACTGGGATGGTTACCACAGGGAACCCACGCTACACTTAGTACCTCTTATACAACGCTTATCGTGGACTAATTAATGCAGTCGCTTATCATGGTTTTGTTACGTTTTGTATGATACAGGGAAACCTTACTMAGCAGCTTATTCGGCTTATGGAGAATATTCGAGCGTCCAGCAAGCGCCGATTTCAAGATGAACAAAAATGGAAAACAAACAAAAAAGCTAAGATAGCTGATGAAGGTATGATAAAAGTGGTGGCTACAACTTAAATTGTTGATAGAAATTAMTCACTTATTTGTTTTTTGGCCCCAGGGGATACTGGAAAATATCCACCTAGAAAGTCATACTGCTCAAATTGTTCACACCATCTTAATCAATTAATTCATTTCTCGTATAACAGAAGACGATGAACTATCCTTGAACAGGCATTATGAAATGATCAAAAAAGAATGCCGAGGAAAACAGCCAAACAAAGAAGCAATTTTGGAACTCCTTTGTAAAGAACTTCCCAGGCGCAAGGACAGATTGGAGGCAAAATGCAGAATCAAAGAAATAAGCAAAGAATATCCTTGCTTAAAGTGGCCGGATGTTGTAAGTAAGTTCGGTTYGGCTAGTAATAATTACAATATAACTGATACGTAATATCTTATCTTTTAGCTAATGGAGGAACTGACAATTCATCTCGAGCGCGACTACAAAAAACAAACTACACCTCAGGATCTGATACAAAACTGGGAAAAAAACCTTCAGGACCTCAGAAAGTACCTCCAGAACTACTTAGAGGAGAACGACAATTCACATGGTAAATTACACTATGTAGACACTGCAATACGCCCCTAATAT